GCTCAACAGACTCAAACGAAGGGCTAATTGTTTCCGGTCCGACATCACGGACGATTGGAAACTTCAACAAAACAACCCGCCAGCCAACACCGCCTCGCTTGTGACCGACTTCCTGACCGAATCAAAGATGCCAGCGGTTCCCCACACTCTTGAGTTATCTCCCTCAGGCTTATTCTTGTTCTCTCGCTTGAAAACTCCCGCAACATTGCGGAATATCTGACAAAGTCGAAGAGGTTTCCAGCAAGGCTCTAAAGGACATTCCGGAAGAGGCCTACCTTGATATCTTCGATGCCTGGAAATCTCGAGGGAAGCGTCGCATCGGCGCAGGTACAGCTTAGCATGAAACTTTTAAATGTATTATATCGGTCGGATCTACAAATTATTTTGCTTATCGATTCACTAAAATTACTTTTCCGGTAAACCATGTATATGGTGTTATAACTCTAGCGAGCTGTATGCACTCCAGACCCCGCAGAAAATGTGGACTGGGGATGCAACGGGACTGTACCAACTTCCTTGACAACGGGGATGGAGGGTAACGCAGCCAACGATTTGACCTTATTCTAACCTACCAGAGTTTGGTAAACCCAGTTACGCTTGCCTCCAATTACTGATCTTTAGCCATGGCCCCGAACTAATTGGCAACCAGATGGTGATTGCGGTGCAATATACAGCCAGTTGAAGTGCTGCCGGAATCTCGCCCTTTGAGATTATAAGCCATGAACCATTGTTCCCAGTTAGGCAAATATTTTGCCCACGTTATGAAGTTTTTTTAAACGGCTCACTGAAGCTTTACACAACATGCATTACGTGATATGATCTGCGTCTATCTAGTGGGGACAAAATACAAACAAACACTGTCCGCCAGCTCTCCATGTCGGGCGAGTTAACAGATATGTTATTAGAACAAAAGACCATCTGGTGAGCAATTGCTTTCAGTGATTCATCGTCAGACCATTACAATCATATAGAGGCTAGAAAGAGAAATGGACCCAGTTAGCTCAAAATGAATTGATCACGTGAAGGTCAATGTCAGAGTGGAAAAAGAACGAATTAGGTCTTAGAGGGCTAGATGTTCGCTACCGCGTCTGACCGAAGGCAGTCGACTTGGGCGTCTTCCATCTTCGCTGGCCAGGGAAGCTGGAGAGCCTGGACCAGCTTCTTCTGTGAGCATAAGGACGGCTGGAACAATCGAATGCATATTGCTTCAGCTGTCGCAAGCATACGAAGGCGGTAACCTTTCGTTCGGTGGGGTGGAAGCTTGTAAACTCTTCGGAAAGCGCGTTTCCAATCCACCTCATGGCCGGTGTCCACAATGTGGGCCAGAATGGCGCTACTAATGGTTCCGATGCCCCCTTGACGAAGCCAGCGAGGGCAATGTTCGTTCACGCGTTTCGATAACTGCCGCGCCGTTCGACCAATATACTTCGCGCCACAGGCGCACACGAACTGATAAATCACCATTGATGTGGTCAGCATCGGCAGCTTGTCCTTGTTTCGTGAACGAATGAGTGGTTCCGTTGAGAACACGCACTTCAACGAGGCTGCTAGAAAGGTCGACTTTACCGCGGCCGAAAGGCTTCTGGTTAGACGCTCGGTAGCCGCGTCCCATTGGAATGGTAAGCGAATAAATAACTCTTTCTTTGTCGCTGCTAACGCTGCCAATGGTTTCGGTTTTTCTTGGAGGTTCCTTAGGATAAATCTATCGGGATAACCGTTTTCAAGTAGACTGTTCTGTATGAACATTAACTCCGCGTCTAGGGTGTCTTCCGTACAGATTCTACGTGCTCTTGACGTAAGACAGTGAACCAAGTTGCGTTTGTATCTCATGGGGACGAAACTGTAAAAATTCGTGTACTGACCTATCCATGTTGGTTTTCTGTATACCTGACGCTGGATGGATCCGTCTGGTCTCCTAGTTAACAAGATATCGAGATATGGTAGTCGGTTATCGCTTTCCTTCTCGTAAGTAAACTGCACTGCTGCATGCACCCGGTTGAAGTGGTCAAGAATTTCCTCCAGATTAACATGTTTATCTACCACAACAAATATATCGTCCATGTATCGGTGATAGCGGTCAGAGAGGTCTATCGCCGCTCGCATTTCGTTCCTCTCCAGCGTTGCCATGAAGATATCTGCTAAGAGCGTTCCGAGAGGGGATCCCATGGCCATGCCGTCCTTCTGCCGGTAGTATTTTCCGTTGAATAGAAACTGCACATTCCAGGTGCAGCGTAACAGTAGGCTCTTAAGCTCACGCGTAGGTATACACATTTTTATTCCTGACTCGGCTATATAGTCCCAAATGTAAGCGATCGTCTCAAGCAATGGGACGTTTGTAAAAAGTGAGACGACATCGAAAGATAACATTAATTTCTCATTGATGTTATCATCTTTGATGCTTTCGACGAAATGGAAGCTGTCACGAAGACTGTAGATAGCGAGCTGTTATCGCACAGGTCCAAGAAGTTCTACAAGCCACTGAGCAACGGCATGGTACGGTGAGTTAACCATTGATAAAATAGGACGAAGTGGGATATTAGGTTTGTGGATTTTTGGTAACCCGTAAAGTCTTGGGACGCTTGTGCCACTCGGTTTAAGGCTGTCATACAGAGCATCCGAAATGCACCCCTTGGCCCGGAGTTCTTGCAAGCTTTTAGTTATCTGTGTTTCAACTTGTTCAGTTCGGTCCCTTTCTCCTTCAATACACGCAAACTTTGTCGCATCGCTCAGTATTGCTGTTAGTTTATCTATGTAATCTTTTCGATCGAGAAACAAGGGTACCACGGGTATCCAGAGGCATGAGCCGCCTGGATATTAATGCTGTGCTTTATACTTACGTATTCCAGCCAGACCAACCTAATGGACTTGTCAACCTTGGGTTTTTAATCCATATTGTGTCATTGTTTCACTGTATTAGTTTTTATGCATACTCCAACATAGCATAGTCGTGTGCTTTCGCGGCATATGACCACATTGTTTATCTCGAGGAAAATATAGATATGGTGAGCTAATTAACACACGTCGCACTGTGCCGAAAAGCACATGGTTTGCTGCAAGATATTTGGTTCACCAAAGAACAGAGATCAAGTTCGTCGTCTGATGAAACGTCGCCTGTCAGTTCGGACCAACCGCGCCTTTGATGTGTTTTCTCCAGCCATCTGCTGACAAACTGACATTAGTTGGATGTCTAGTTGATGTACATTTTTGTGACAACTCCTACTTATCATCTTTCATTTTCATCTTGTCCTTTTCCTGACATTTGTTTAAACGCATCATTTCTATCAGTATCGTTTTCTAGTGCATAAGTGATTGGTTGTTACTTTTGTCGCTTCTTTTTAACCTGTGCCTATCAGCCTCTCCTATGTGGGTTGGCTCTAATATGTCTTAGTATCTTTGCTTCTACCACTAATTGTACCCTAAATGAGTGAAGCAGCATTTTCATGTGCACAATTTAGTTCAGCTTCCTCTTCATGTTCCCCCTGCGGTCACGGGTTGCGAGCAGCTGATGCGGATACCACTGCAGGTATCTTCTGTTTCGTGGATAAAATGGACCTGAAACTGTCGGACGCAGTTTGCTCTATGGACTCACGCGTCAAGGCAAGTATGGCATAGGCTGATTGGACTATGTCAGTCAGTTAAGTCGAAATGGTCTTTATGAACCCAGCTTGTAACATTTTCTGCATTAGAACATAGATACTTCGGCAATGAATCCAATTTAGCATAGAAACGACCGGCATCATAGTAAGTGTCGCGAGGTGAACACCAAATGCAAGGAACATTAGAGGCACAATAGACTGATTGTACCCCGCTGGTGAAATAGTGAGCAAGCTACCATGCTGATACATAGAAGACGCAACCAGATTGTAGCCTGCATGCTTCCGTTGAGACCTACCAGGTGATTTGACCCCATTTGTTGTGTGAATCAATGAGAAACGAAGTCAGTTCCTACTGAACGAATTGAGCGAATGCTAGCTAAATTTAGTCATAATAGCCAAAACATTGCAAGCAAATGTCAGCAATTTAGTTCGGATGGATTTCTTTCAAAAATTGTGTTAAAACTCAACCCGAAAATAACTGAAGCAATGCCATAGCCATGTATTCTCGAACATGCATCATACGGATAGGCAAACTTTGTCTGGAGCTTGGGTAACCCAGTGATGAACACCATCTTGTTAGTATTCAAGTATACTTCCACGACGCATGGACTTGCCAGTGCATCGTTCGATCCTCAATAGCAGGCGTCCAAGATGATATTGAGAACTCTCTCCGGTATGGAGACTGACTGCACTCCTGAGTGTCGAACGCCCCTTCTACTCTCAGTTAACCAATAGCAGCATTGAAGATGCATGACATATTTGGTGCCTCGTTGTGGGAATTCCACTATTTTTCGAACTCGGTACATTAAGTTCGGACATGATCACCACCATGCGAACTGTGAGATTACAAGTCAGTGCGAATATCCAACGCGGTTAGTGAGGTACAAAGAGTCCTCGACAGTCTTTAAATTTGCCAAGAGTGTTGTTATTCGTGTAAACCTGGGAAGAACTTAACGGTTGACATGCATTTATACAACTTTCCGAAATTCATTTTCGAGAATAACCATTGTACACCCATCTGTCACTTGCTGGATGCTGCCTAGTTCCCTTTGCAACAGTATTTCAACGAGTAGCCCTCGTTGCTCTGGGGCTTCAGCTACACCGGTGTGTTAAGTACTAAGAGAAGATGGGTGGATTTCCTGGAGTCACACTGCCATCCACATACCTCCCCAGCTTGTTACTTTTGGTGGACAGTGAAACTACATCCCTGAGGTAGCGTCCGCCACATTTGGCTCGTCATGAGTACAGGGGTCCAGTGAGAATTTACAGTCACAATTTTACTTGCACTCAGAAACGGCTGCTACCAACCCTTCGATACCAATGAGAATTCTATACCTATCCACTCTGCCTTAGTGAATAAGGATTCAGCCACTTGAGAGAAATATGTTTTATATCTAGGCAGTCCTTTGCTGATAACCATTATCGGTAAAGTGTAAAAGTATCGCTTTTATCCTCCAACAGCAGTACAGTTGAAAAACAAATGTTTTTTAAAGTGAAAGATAAATGCATGCAGAAATGGAACAGCTTCCATCAATGTAGTCTAATATGTGACTAGCGCGAGGGGTATCTGATTCAGACTGTGTTGTTCTTTCGTGGACAGCAGCGGTCCTCTTTATTCTGTCGTTATACTGAAAAAGAGAACAATATAAACATTTAGAGGCGCATAACTTGTTTGAGTTTGTTTAACAGTACCAATGAGTTTGGATTCTCATTTTAATCTATTTGCGCTACCAATTAGCTTGAGAAGAATATCACTAGAACAACGGAACAATAGCATATTACTGGCAAAAAGCGGATGCTTAGAAAGTTCTGTAGAATTGTCATAATGAGAACCACAACATGGGGAATACAAACAGTGATAAACTGGAAATCGTTTTGGTAGACTCACCACAGTATTAACACAGAGGCATGCAGAAAGCACCAAGCTCATTGGTGTAGTTTAATACTGGTTGTGCAACTTTCGTCACGTTGTATCCTCCATCGAGACAAACACTCATCAGACCACATAGTTGGACTGCACCTCGCATTGCCGAGGAATACACCATTTATTTATTTATCTCGTAATGTAGGTGGGTTAGGGCAAGGTCATAGCGTTTTTTAAACCAGGTAAAGGGGGAGCGGAAACAACGTAATTTTGGATGGCCTTCGATGGCTACCACACAAGAACAGAGTAAAAGTTCTGTCGACATTCTAGTCGGCTGTATGCGTGGCTAACTTGAACGGGTGGCTCCCAACATTTGTGTTGTAGCTCAGTTGTAGTAGGTGGCGGCAGACGTGGTTGGAGTTCCTTAGAATCTTGTAGGCCATAATAAGGTCGCCACGTAGGCGGCGGTACCGGCCGATGTATACTTTTAGGGTCCTCTGTCTAAGTTGATAAGGAAGATGGGAAAACCCTTTGACGTGCTTTGTGGCTCGTCGCTGTGGAGTCTCTAGCGCTGCAAGGTTTTGCTTGTGCCAATGATGCCAGGTCTAGATGGCTTAGTCCAAGTGAGGCCGCACGTAGGCGTTGAGCTACTGCGAACAGACAGAGGGATCAACCCGCCCGAATGTCCATCGTAGCATACCAAAGTGTTAGTTCCAAGTCTTTGACGCCTTCTCAGATTGTTTTGAGCAGTTCAGCTCAGCCCGGACTAGTGCCCCAAGATCGCGCTCAAGTGAAACGAAATGAGTAGGGAAATTGTTGTTACGGAAATAGCCAAAACCTACTCAATACTGCTTGGCCAACTCCCTGACGCAAACGTGTTATTGGCATACTCTGTTGTTAATTCTCGATGACTCCATATCTAGCACAGTTTCACCATGGAACACTCCATGTTATCATCGAAGAACCCATTAGCACGTACCTAAAGGCAGCTTACATCGCTTGACTACAGTTCACCAGCTCATTGTGCACTATATGTATATACCGATGCTCCCTAAACTCCATGGGTTACAGGTTTGAAAATCTTGAATCCGACATGACCAATACACTTCAGTTTAATTTCTTCTGTTAGCTACAACATAAGTGTAGTTGGATGGCGCAAGTGACACTGTGGTGGCATCGGCCGGTTCTGGTGTCACAATGGCGGACCCCTGTGGTTTATTTGAGTGAAGTTTTGTTGATGACGCAACAGGCAACAAGTTGTGCTTCGGCGATTTTTGGCTCATTGGTCGAACTTTGGAATGTGTCCACCATTCTTGTTTGCACAAATTTGAAGACGCTAAAGGAACGCAACTCTCGAAACAAAGCTCGTTGGTTCTCTTAGCCAATGGGCTGCTTCTATTACACTTTCTATAAGCTTCACAAGACTACCGAAATGTGGGCTAGCAGTTAGAACTTTATTACGGTAGAATTGCTTTGAATCCGTTAACCATCCAGGATAAACTTACCTTTTGCACCTGTCCACTGGTTGGCTGGCTTCTTTCGCATCCGTCTGACTTACACCTCGATATTGAAAATAAGGGGCCATGAAAGATTTAGCCATTAACTGTAGCCAATAGTAGGAGTAGATCGGGTCGTACACATTTTCGCAGTTAGTATTCGCTGCTGTTTGTCGTGCAAATACTATCGGGTTGTCACTCGAATTTGATTCTGATGCAGAAGTGGTGACGGCGCTTTCATCTAATGTGCTCAATGTATCAGAATTAGCTCCGTTGATCTGAAGGATGGCAGAAGAGCGTTAGAGTACACATGAAGAATGGCTGCGGCTCATTATGAGGAATACATAAGTATTCACTGCATTGTAACTCATTTAGAGAAGGCGCCACTCAGTTTGACAGTTAAATTTTGTTAGATGCATTTTGACGATAAGAATGGCATGCGGAATACACCCGGCTCGCATCATCGGTAACTCAAGTGCCCAGCCAGGTGGATTTCCGTCCTCGCTAATTAGACTACATACCACACGGTTCTATGATTATTCTTAGTCGTTACACTATTAAGAAACACCATCCACCTAGCTTGAAACTATATATGATATAAACAGCTTAGTTTGCATATTTAGCTCAGATTGGTGGGAAATGGTTTCGCAGTGTGCTCGCATTATCATGATAAGTTGCTTTACAAAAAAGCGTCGTTTACAGACTGCATCAGCGAGGTATGAAGGATAGGGACTCCCTAACCAGTATGCCACTCATTGACGCGGCTAACGTTAACATGGATAACGGTGTATAGTAACCACAATTACAGCCATCGGATACGCGGAGGCCACGTTTACGCAAAAGTCAAATGATGTGTTCAACGCGTTGAAAAGGGGGCTTAAGGTGCGCAAAGGAACCAGTTGTATTTGTAGCAGGATTAGTAATACCCATTTAGGTAATGGGTGTTGCCCGCCCGGACGCGTTTTGATCTTACTTGATCTCACCATGTAGATATACTATGCCTCGAACCCAGGATCATTGGGAAGTTACTTAGGACCCCATCCCTTCAGCTACCCGGTCACAACTAACAACGGTTAGCACCACGATTAATGACTGATTGGGGGATCATTTTAACGCATACGTTTAAGTTGATTCTGACGCACGATCTCGGTGTGCGCCGCTGTGATCCAACTAACAGTTCAATGGTCTCGAGTTTAATGCTTACTAGCTCTATCTGATGACATCCATCTAGGTCGAAAAGCGTCGTGGATGCAATGGTTTCGGGCGGTAAACACCCAGTAGCCATCTGTTTCAACAGTTGCGGTCCCAATGATCGGGAAATCAGTTGTTGGGTTTTGGATTATCCGCCATGTGTGGATGGATTAAGGCCCACAATCTCAGTTAAGTCCACCGGTTACTCTGAAGTAACTATCTGCTATTTTTATAGCCAACTCTCAGCCAGAATGGGCAGTTACGGCACTTCTTTTTCCCTATAACAGTACCGATACTCACCACTTACGAGCTGAGAGAATATTGTCTCTCCAGGAGCATTTTCCGGTGCCCTTCGAAAGTATTTCGGACACGTTTTGAGCGCATTCCAGTCAATCTTGACAAATAGAAAAATGCTTTATCACATGATAAGCTCACGTCTGAAAGTACAGGGTTACCCCACTCATTGGATTTTGCCTTGCACCTTAGAGGCTGAAGTGAATTAAGCACTTCCATCCACTGCTACTGATGACCCGCTTGTATATCGGCTTCGGGGTGCAACTTTATTTGCATCATTTCCTGGTGCTAATGGAAGTCATAATGAGACTCCATCAGCACTAATGCTCTACCGCAGCGGTCTCATGAGCTTGAAATGGAGATTTCGGCTAACTTCCGAAACGCCACGGATTCGGGTAGCAGTTTTGTAACTACAGGCGGTGCGAACCCGGTTGTAGAATGCTATGTTAAGACTGCACAAAATTTAGCATTCATCTTCAAATGTAGTCCTTGTGATCAACTTTTTCGTTTCTGAGAAGGAAAAGTCGTTGAACCAACAGTTTTGACGGCCAGCCAACTAATCCCATTAAAGGCACTAGCGTACGAAATACTCTACGAAAGTCAGATGATTGAAATAAGATTCAGCCAGATATTTCACACAATAAAGCATACACTATGGAATTGCTGGATTTTTGAGTGTTCATTGTGTTTCGATTGGGATATTTAATCTCTATTTAGAAGGCTGGGACAATTCCAAGCACAGCGACCGCATCTATGCTGAACGGCCTATTGACCGAGGCATCAGGTGCTTCCCTCTGTGTTCCAATCTCATCTTCCACCATCTCGTCCTAAAGCGTCTATGTGAGGACGAACCCAGCTGTAGAGTGCAACGTCGGAAGTGAGCAATACCGGAACTCCCCCATTCACCACACCCTGTGGAGAAAAACAGCATACAACTAGTTAAGGAGACATACAAGCTAGCTTTATTGTGCCTCAAGAAAAGTCATTTATCAGACTACCTACTCCGGGCAGCTTATCTTGGTGGTTTTAGTCAAAAGTGGCAAAGTGTACCCCTCCCACACACACACACACACACACACACAGGAGCAATCATAATGGGAGGTACCTTGCGCATGTCGATAGAGCCTTCGGAGCTTGTGGTCATAAAGCTGGATTCATGTACCGAGGTTGTCAACTGGTGGTCTGTAGAAGTTATCGAAGTTAACTTCCCAGATGAGTCGTTTACGTTTTTCTCCGGACGAATGTAGTCGTTCCTTTTTGGCCTCTGTAGCTGATTGAACTGGTACGGAGGTGTTGTTGATGAGAAACGATTCAAATGAGCGTAGGTATTGAAAACTCTTTGGAAAATGGTCTCCAAGTAAGACTGCATGTCGTGCTTGCATAACAGGCTTCCTACAAAGAGGTAGATATGAGGTACACCCAAACCAGTAAAAAGCTTGAATTCTGACAAATAAGTAACAGATGAGCACTAGAGGGCTTTATTCACCTGACAGTGTAAGTCTCATTCATCAAAGCTATATTGTAAAATTGATTCAAGCCAATGCAGTCAGGCTATTTTTCATATTTGAACATCAGCTATGGATAGTAGACGGCACTCTTTGGGCTGGGTTGAGAAATTGTCTCCTTGTTACTCTTGCACTGAAGCCCTGATCAATTCTGTCCTTAACACGAGGTAAGTCCTAAATGACACCTCGCAAAAGGGAATGGTAACGCCAGAAAGTACCAGGATTCATGATGTGTTGTACAGGTCGAACAGAAGGAAACCATCTGAACACCGAGATCGAACTGTCCCATGAAACTTTTGCCAATACTGTGGTATGATACTACTTAAAATCGGACATACGAACATAACTAAGATTAGTAGCAACGCTGTTTTTGCCCCTGCTGCCTAGTTACTAGTACTAAAAGCCGTTAGGATCTAGATAACCGTTTTATGTAACTGGTTGGTTTTGTCCCTTTGTCTCATTATCGCTTGGAAACTGATCTTTTTGTATCTGCCCCGGAAACGACGGTCGCTTGACGCGTTGTACACCACCTCAACGTCTTGTAACGCATACTGACCACTGGGTAGTTCATGCTACTTGACGGGGCCTTCATTAATGACCAGTCAGTGACTTGAAAATATTTTTCACTCTCCTGAGTCATACACATCTGTACTGAACGCGTATGGTCGCTGATTTGTACCACAAGTTTGGACAGGACATCTGGCTGGACCAATAGTACTACTACATCTGGTGGATCTGACGTATGACAAAAATCAGCTTACCTGAATCTGTGGTTAGAGGGGTAGGCTGGACTCGCCGGTCCCACCATAATTCTTTGCTGCGGTTCCCTTCGAGGGTCAAGGGAATCATAGTTGTTAGGCCCGGTGTGGTCGCACTAGCTTCAGACGATACGGCATCAATTACCGGTTGATCGGAATTCGAGTTGCTGTTAGAAGAATTTAAGCATTCAACCACAAACGGAAGTGATGCCGGGCTATTTGACGGTGGCTTCCATCTTGGCAGATTATCAACCAGAGGAAAGGAGAGTTTGGTGCTTCTATTGTCGCACGTGTCCATGAAAGAATAGGTCGTCCTCACGGTTGACGGTAAGGTAGGATGTGTTTCGAGATCCATTACTGAAGTTGCAGGTGTAAAGCAAAAAGGCAGTGGAGGGATGAACGGTGGCCATCGACACCAATTCATGGAGTCTCCCTTGCAATTCCTGTTATCCCTGACTGCATCACTGCATTCAAGGTCAATGGCCTGGTCTGGTATTGTTGTGTGCGATTTACACTTCTGTGTTAGATTGGAATTTTCTTGCATTTCTGCTGAACACATTAAATGAACGGCAGCAATATCAGTAACATGTTGGAGAGCAAGTAAACAGTTTCTAAAAATATTCACACTTAAGAATACATAGCTGATTCTACTCCAGACTTCACGGTCCATTATATATTATAGATGCTAGGGAACTTTCATCCACTCAAGCAACAAGCTTCTGCTGCAGTAAAAACACAATTTACAACCTTTATTTGCCTGAATGCCAATTGTGTTGCTTACGGGCAGTTTTTCTGTCCAGTTCATAGGAAACCGTACATGGTTCAGTGGCCGATATCCCTTTCCCTGCCTTATGACAGGCACCGTTTGACAAGTGGACACTCGAAGTTGGAACACGTGTAGTTGCTGTGTTGACTTCATCAGAAGATTTAACCGATGTTGTGATCACCGCAGGATTTAGGACGGGATGGGCGAACAGATTACCGCTCAAGTACAGCGAAGCGATTTGCGCCGGTGAACGTGTCCAGTATGACTGCCATTCAGTTGCCGTTTCACCTGAGTCGATCACACTTCGTGGCCATTTTAACGGTGGTTGTGGTTCATTACTATCGTTGCCGCTGGTGGCCACAGAGCATGCAGAAACGCGCGTTGCTGTATGACATGGTAATGCGGAAACAATGGACATCTGGTGTGAGTTTCCCATTGAAATCCGCTTCGAAGGCCTTCCCGGTCGCGCACTGTAATAGGGAAGGAATCAGCAAATGTCTCGGTTCTTTAAATCCAATGAGGAAACCGAATGCAACCATAAATGTGGTTAAATATGTGAGGAGGCATGTTATTCTTTTTTCTCATCGGAGTTATTGGTGTGGCATGGAACCACCAGGGTGTTCACCAGGCCTTTCGTAGCTACCACGTAAACAGCAACTAGAACTACTGTTTTCGTTGACCATCTGAGAAAATTATGCCTACGGAGTGGTTAGGAAAGAAGCATTGTATGTAAGGTGTATGGAACGTGGATTTAACTCGGTGTGGTATGACCTTATTGGAGAACCCGAGAACAAGGTGTAGAAATAAAACTGGACGACGTACCACAACTGCTGTTCTAACAACGCTGGTCACTTCCCACTCAAATCTTTCGTCTGGATAAGTGTTTACAGCGAATGCAGTCTGAGATAGTATTTTCTCACTGTATACCAACAGACGACAGATATAGAGTACCGGTTACTGTTCGAATGACCATCAAAGGGAACTATAGTTCAATAGAAATAGCTTACCATGGTTGTGAACTTTTACATACGAGGAAATGCTGTGAAGACTAGGAAGCTTGAAGGAAAAAGCTGGTTCAAGAAATAAAGTAGCAAGCGGATTATAATAATGAACAACAAACAATGAATTTATACGGGTTAAGAAGCGTTGCTTTACAAGTCCCGTTGGATGGTTGGTGGGCATATTGAAATAACAATAGCGATAATAATTATAGTAAAACTGTTAGTACTTCAAATATGAAAATAAGGACTTATCATTTGCTCTTCCGTAGTCCTGCAATCCGCTGATATTCACAGCACCCGCAGTTAACATCAAATAATTCCATGGTAAACTCCAGGTATAGGATGGAGACGTAGTGCTAAGTGACAAAGTGTAAGTGGATGAGTGCATCGTCCAACCTTCTTTTAAATACTGTTAATGTGCATGCAGAGACAACTGATATTGGGAGAGCATTCCACCGGTGACAGACACGAATAGAAAAGATATTCCTGCGGCACTCCAGACGTCTATACTCTACGGCGAGTTTCAATGATTGGCCCCTCGGGGTTGTATTACTGCTGAGTCGCAGTAAAAGGCGACACACATGATGTGGGTCTCGAAGAATCAAGTATGCCATAATCAGGTCGCCTCGTAGTCTGCGATAGCTTCCACTGAACACCCCCAATCGTTGCAGCCTCTCCTGGTAGGAAAGATTGCGCATTCCAATTACGTTCTTAGATGCCCGGCGTTGTGGCTGCTCCAGTAGATTAAGGTCGTGTTTCAGCCATGGATGCCAAGCTTGAATAGCGTATTCAACATGGGGGCGAACGTACTCACTAAACATTTGTCGATATATGGAGATTTTTATTTGTCCAAACGCCCAGCGCAACAGCCCGACGTGTTGGTTCCCGGTCTTCTAGGCCTTTTCGGATTGCCTGGAGCAACCCAAGTCATCTTGAACCAGGACACCCAAGTCCCGTTAGATAGCTGATTTTTGCCGTATAAGTAACTGCTCTGATGTCGGATGGAAAGTATCGCGCGTTTACTGAGGTTCAAGTGCAGTAAGCCTTGGGCTGACCGTCGATACACCGTATCTAGATCACCTCCCTCAAACACTTACATGGCGGACTCTCCTTGTTGTCTAGTGAAGGTCTCAAAATTAAACAAAGTTTTGGAGAAAGATGACTTTGTATAAGGAAAATGTCGTAGAACTACGTTATTTGCTAGCCTGTAACGTTCGCTGAGTAGGTCACCGAATGGGCCGCTGACGTGAAGATAACTGATTTACCATTATGCTTTCCAATTCACTGTAACTTCTTAATAGGGTAGCCGCTTTGTCCATGTTCGCTGTTTAAAACTTGTTAGGTGCATTTTATTGGCGGGTTCATTTGTGGAAATTTGACAGCGCCTTAAAGTATGTTTGTATGATTTGGTTGGGTAAATTAAAAACAATGTAGATATTCGATATTATGTCGCACACTACAGGCAAACTGGTCCCACGACGGATCTTAAAATTCCGTAAGCTGACAGTTCTGCAATTATATTTTTGTTACAAGTTTTGTTAGATAAGTAATTGGCTTTAGATTATAAGTAAACTGTAAATATATCCTGTAGCTAATGCATGTGTTACTCATTCGTTTTGACGTCATTGTGTGAGAATGGAGAGAACCGGTGAAGTTGAGAAAACGACGATTTTGCAGTAGGTATACTGAAGAGAATGGATATTCATAATGATAGGCCAGTCGCATTAGAGGACAATGCTCCTGCGTGTACAACAGTTGCCAAATGGCATAGGGAATTTAAATGGGGCAGGTTGTTGTTGAATGTTGCTGACGTTGCGAGTGGTCATCGACGTCAGCATCCCAAGACGACGAAAAAACTAACAGCGCCATCAAACTGTATGAGGAAAAACAATTAAAAATAATAGTTGCATCTGTAGGTATTTCAATTGATAGTGTGCATCCTCTTTTGACAAGTAACGTGACACTAAAATGTTAGTAAGCGTGGGGTGCATGCGTTTCTAACATCAGCAAATATGTGCACTTTACCAACTGCGACTGGTGTATCCTCCCAGTTTTAACTCTCCAGAGCATCTGATTTGTTTACTCTAAAGCATTTCTGGCTCAACCATGTATACAATGGTTAGGCCTAGTCCAGAGGGTTGCATTTGATTTAACGAGCGTACACAATGTTCTATTCTCCAACAAAGAGGCTACGCGAGTAAAGTTTGACCACTTGTTCGAGTGCGGGCAGTACCAGTATATTAGACCAATACTCCAGTGTGAACCGCGAAATTGCAGATGATCGTATGAGCGGTCTTCGTACTATCAGGAATTCTAACCCATATTATGTGCACACGTTCCATCGGAAACCCTTTATGATCGTACACCTTTGAAGAATGCACTGGAAGTTTAATACCGTGACATATACGCATATTGACGAAGTGGACTGGAAATCGCTACGAGAAATTAGCTGCATCACACGGGACAAATAATCAAGAGCTCTTATACAATAAATTCGGTAAGCCTCGGCCTGTCAGGATGCGAGTCAATTCTCTTATGCTGTTGTTTCGTATACCCAACTAGTCACGCTGACGCTTCTCAAAACGGAATGCAGCAAACGCAAGCAATGAACCGCAAAGTGACCGGTAGACAAGTGTATCTATTCATGATTCAGTCAGCATAACGGTTAAATGCTCACAACCAGATGGTCCTTTATGTGTAACAGCCGGTAAACTCAAGTAATGCTCACTAGGACTTTCCCTGAGGTTGAAGCGACACATCGCAGGTTCAGTTATCAGACGACTTCTACTAAATGCAAGAGACTTGAAGAGTATGGTGTAGCATCTTCAGGCAAATGTTGTGGAATTAGAAAACTGGAGTGGAATATCGCTGCTTAGCCAAATTAGCCTTGGAAGAAGATCGCAGGTATGCGGCTGTTGAGCATTGCTTTGGTTACCTGTCTACCCTGACCTTCGATACCCACTTGGATACTGAGGAGGCGGTGTGATCTCGGGAGACGAGCAACAGTTAGAACCCAGTGCGTTGTTGACAAGCCCTTGACAAGCACACATTTACTGAGCGCGGCATGTCACTTGTGGCGACCGGAAAAAATACGGTGCAAATTCGTCGTTCAAACTAAAACCATGTCACTTACGTCAGTGAGGTGGAAAAATCGGCTTCTTCCAGGTAAGCTGATGCACCTGTCCACCTTCAGAACTGCGGTATATAGGACCATTCGGCGAAAGAGACGTAGTATACGATGCGTGTCATCCATTATAATTTATGCGTATTATACTTTTGGCAGATGCCTTTTATATATTGGACTGAGCTGACAACCGAATAGGCTTCATTTGCTCTTTGAATAGTGCTGTTATTCTGTTCATGGGAAGTATATGCTTCATCAGGTTTATCACACACACAAAAACCGAATTTCGCTAGTGTCCGTGTTGTACGGCTGCATGTTTTCGCTGGCCAACCTCTGAATGAGTTTAAAACACGTTTACGCTGTCGTTCTATACTGTGCAGAAAAGTCAGTCGTTTCGTGTTCCTTTATTCGCATACAGTCAAAATGCTCGTCCCGCAATGCTTAACAGTATGAGAAGCGAAGTTCGGCATACTCCTCTACTGCCCCGTTACAGCTGTTGTTCTTCCCGTTGGAGTATGTGCGCATTGTTCCATCGGTCATTTGGATAGTGGCAAAAAGCAGCTGCTTACGTCGCATACCCGAACAAAACATTTTATAACCCCTAGGGGACAACGTATGTCACCCAACCAGTCAACCAGTGTGATAACGGAGCTGTCGCAAAGCCTTTTATTCTCCATTGAGCGCCCGTAGTTTTCAAAATCGGAGCAGATAATATCACGATACCCTAGGGTCATAAGGCTGTGAATACAGGTTGTGTTTTTGTTCTACTTGCCTGATAATCGGCATTTCCGAGTTATTTGATGAAATATGCAGACAGAACGGATACAAGGGCGAGATATCCCAGCATCACCTCCTCAAGTAGGTGTAACAATTGCATGGAATGATTACCTTGAACAAGGTGGACAGAAACCCAAATAGGTCTGTATTACATTAATGCTTAGAGGAAAAGCATTAAAGTTGCAGTTGGGTAGTTAGTTTTGTCGATGCTCAGACCCCCTAAGGTTTACTTCTCTATAGGAAGGTAAAATTAAGGCTTAGCCGCCCAAAAATCAGAAAACGATAATTGCTTGTGGTTTGCAAATCTGTGTGGTTTGATGTAAAATACATCATAATGGAATAGTCTAGTAAGCTCATGACGAACCTGTGGGAACCGCTGTTCTTTCCAACATGTCATAGTCATTGTGCAAGCCCCTGACGTCGAGGTTACGGAATGACCGCTTCAACCTTCTTGCAATATTGATTCGTTTTTTAGATGTTCACTTCCTGAAAGTAGCGTTGTTTGCTAAGCTTTCACAAAACCCCACTCTAGCAATACGCTCATATTATGTGCTGACTTAAGCATGTA